AACCAGCTGCACCACATCAAGCATCTCATCAAGGATATCCAGTGTGGTCCCAAGGCATGGAAAATATTGAAGGATGTCCATGCCCCCAGCAGCGAAGCGATGGTGGTGGTGCTCGAACGACAACTCCATGCGGTGAAGATCAACGAGGGTGATGCCGTACAAGGAGCGTTCGATCAACTCCGGGACCTCTATGTGAAGCTCTCTGCTGCTGGTGTGGACTACCCTGAAAAGATCAAGTGCTACAAGGCTCTCTCCCTGCTGCCGGAGTCGTGGGGCCCCTTGGTGGTCAACCTCAATGGCATGAAGGACTCGTGGTCCCTTGAGTGGATTCGTGCTCAAGTCCTTCAAGAGGAGTTTCGGAGGAAGGAGCTGACCGCCACTGCCGGTGAAGGTGGAGGCTCTGCCTATGGCATGAAAGGCTTCAAGGGACGTGGCAGCAAGAAAGGCAAGGCCAAGGAAGGCTCTGGAGGGGAGCAGTATTCAGGAGGGAAGCGTAGCAATAAGGGAGGCAAGCGGTGTGGCGGCAAGTGTTGGTATTGCCATGTGGAAGGTCACCCATGGTTTAAGTGTCGCAAGCTACCTGATGGTTGGAGGCCTGGTCAGCCATCAATTGAAGGCTCTAAGGGTGTTCATGGAGCTATGGGAGAAGGCATGGGCAGTGAGGAGGGCGATGGAGGTGCCGGCGGACATGGCGGCATGTTCTACCATGTAGGAGAGGCATGCTCCGAGGATATGGTTGTACCAGCCAGCAAGGTTTCTCTTCACCGTTCCTCCCATTGGGTCATCGACACGGGAGCCTTCATGACCATGACCAACCGAGAGGATCTTCTGGATGAAGTCAGGCCATCAAAGGCAGCCACCGTTGTTTCAGCCACCGGCCAAGTTGTACCCGTGCGTGGCGAGGGGAGAGCCATGTTTATGGGTGCGGATGGGAGGCTTGTGGGGCTGAAGCGTGTTCTCCTTGTCCCTGGACTATGTGCCAACCTTCTCTCTACCAAGGCATTGAGTGAGGCAGGGATGAAGATGGAGATGATGGGCACAAAGGTGTTCAAGGCAACTCTGGATGGGCGCCTGTTGTGGGACCTCCGAGGCGGCAAGGACATGCACCGGTCCATGTGGGAGATACCGGTGCTGCCATGGAAGGAGGCGGCTGCGCGCTTGGCTGCTGAAGCTGTAAGAGAAGGGCATGCAAGCCACGTAACCAGTGGAGGAGGTGGTGATGGCAGTGATGGTGGGGTGCTTGTGCATGGGGGGGGTGCACTACCAAGTTTAACTCCTGATACGGGTGAGACGGATTGGCTCACCGCACACCGTCGCTTTGGCCACGTGGCGCTACCTCAGTTACATCAGCTGTTTAAGGAGGAAAGAGTCAAGGGGCTGAGGATAAAGGGGGAGCCCAAGGAGGTGGGCTCTTGTGAGACTTGCTTGACCAGCAAGTTCTCACGATTTCCCTTCCATTCGACGGTGGGGCGGTCAAGTGACCCGGTGGAGCTCGTGCACGTGGATCTTGTGGGGCCCATGAAGGTGAAAGGAGATGGTGGGGCCCTGTATTCCATGACTATGGTGGATGATTATACAAGGCTCACCTGGTCTTTTCCACTTGCAAAGAAGAGTGATGCTGCAAGGGTCATCATTGAAGAGTGGCTGCCCATGGTGGAGCGAGAGAGCGGCAAGCGGGTGAAGGCGATTCGTAGCGACCGTGGTGGGGGGAGCGGAGTTCCGGAGCTGGTTGAAGCGGCATGGCATCAAGCAGCAGCTCACCACGGCCTACACCCCTCAGTCCAACGGCGTGGCAGAGAGAGCGAACCGGACCATTATAGAGGGCGGGAGAACGATATTGGTGGACTCGGGTCTACCCTTGCGGTTCTGGCCCCTCACTATTCGTCATGCTACCGTCATCAAGAACCGGGTGTTGACTCATGTGGGAGGTCAGCATTGGGTCCCTATGGAGAAGTGGAGTGGCAAGAAGCCCCTGGTTGATATGCTTCGTGTCTTCGGGTGCATGGGGCTCGTGCATGTCCCTAAGGAGAAGCGTGACAAGCTTCAAGCGGCGGCGGTGTGGGCTGTTCATTTGGGTCTTGCACGGGGGAGCAAGGGCTGGCTCATGTGGGACCCAAAATCCAACACCATCTTCACCACCAGAGATGCCAAGTTCATGGAGGGGCTCATGTTCAAGGAGTGGTCGGAGCGGGGGAGGAGCAAGGTCACCATTCCGCTTGGAATAGAGGTGGGAACCAACGACCCACTTCTCATTCCCATCGAGTTGTCCTCATCTTCAGAGTTGACAGAGGTGTCACATGACTTGGGAGGTGCTGAAGGGGAGGCAGTAGATGTGGAAGAAGTACTACAGCAAGGGGAGGCCCCTATAGCTGAGAGAGGTGACACCGATGAGGAGGTGCAGCAGCCTACACCATCTCCTAAGCTTCCATCAAGGCGCACAACCCAAGGGAAGCGTGATGCTGTCCGTGGTGGAGCCAAGGAAGGAGCAGCCAAGGAGAGGCCCAAGAGAGCTGCCCATCCAAGGGATTTCCTCAAGTATGAAAGGCTTGGGGTTCCCAAGGCATTGCTGGTCCAAGAGGAGGAATATGAGGAGGAGAAGGGAGCTGAGGGGGAGATGGAGCAGATTTGTTGCTTTGGCGTCAACTTACCTCATGAGCCGGCGTCAATGGAGGAAGCTCTCGCTGGAGATGATCGAGAGGCATGGCTGGCTTCTAGGGAGGATGAGTTCCAGAGCCACATGGAGAATGAAACATGGACCCTTACCAATCTTCCCCCAGGAAGGAAGGCATTGGACTGCACGTGGGTGTTACGTGTGAAGACCGATGCGGAGGGGAGGTTGGAGAGGCGCAAGACAAGGCTTGTGATCAAAGGCTTTCAGCAGAGGGAGGGAATTGACTTTCAAGAGGTGTTTGCTCCTGTTGCCAAGGCTCCTACGCTCCGGTTGTTGCTAGCAGCCGCTGCCGTTTGTGGCTGGAAGGTGGAGCAAATGGATGTGAAGACGGCATTCCTCTATGGCATGGTAGATGAGGAGATCTACATGAAGCAGCCAGAGGGGTATGATGATGGGAGCGGACGTGTTTGCAGGCTCAACAAGGCCATCTATGGCCTCAAACAAGCTCCAAGGTGCTGGTATGCAAGGCTGGTGGAGGTGTTGGAGGCTCTTGGCTCCAAAGTTAGCGGGTGCGACGAGAGTCTCTTCATGACCGAGGGGGAGGAGGAGAAGGTATTTCTCCTTGTCTATGTCGATGACATCCTCCTCTTCTCTCCATTCCTAGAGAGGATCAAGGAGGTGCAAGGGAAGCTGAAAGAGACCTTTCAATGCAAGGCCCTTGGACCAGTGGGGTATTACCTTGGTCTTCACGTGGAGCGGGACGAGGTGAAGGGATGGTTGAGGCTTCACCAACACAAGTACCTTGCAGCCATGGGGGAGAAGTATGGGCTGGAGGAAGGGAGGAGTGTGAAGACTCCTTTACCCTCAGGGTTTCAGCTGCACCTTGATGAAGAGGAGGGTGAGGTGTTGGAGTACGAGTTGCAGCGTCGGTTCCAGTCAATGGTGGGGAGCTTGATGTACGCTTCAGTCAACACTCGCCCCGACATTGCGTTTTCAGTTTCACAGCTCGCTCGTGTGGTGTCTAGGCCCCTTCAAGAGCACCTGGATGCAGCAGAGAGGCTGGTGAGGTACTGCATGGCAACCTCAAGGGTGGGGCTGCAATATTCAGTGCATGGGCAGCTGAAGCAAAAGGGAGTGGAGGAGGTGAGCACAAAGATTGGTGCACCCGCAAGGCGTGATCATTTGTACCTCTCGTGCTTCACCGATGCTACCTGGGCAAGTGACATCAGTGATGGTTCATCCCATGGTGGCTATATATGCTGTGTTGGAGGGAGTCCAGTGAGTTGGAAGTCTAAGAAGCAAGGAGAGATAGCTCACTCATCAACGGAGAGCGAGTACATGGCGTTGTTTCATGGAGTGAAGGAGGTGGTTTGGATGAGGAGGTTGCTTGAGGAGTTGGGGCAGGAGCAAGAGGGTCCTACACCTGTGTTTTGTGACAGCCAAGGAGCAATTGCAATGGCGCGTAATGCTGTGCTCCATGGGCTGAACAAGCACATGCATATCAAGTGGCATTGGGTGAGGAAGGAGGTGAAGAAGGGCACCATCTCCTTGCACTACATCAACACTACCAAGCAACCTGCGGATTTCTTGACTAAGCGGCTTGCAGAGCATCAGCATTGGATCTGTGCCACCTTGTGTGGCATGTCCTTCAACTAAGGGAGGCAGCTTCAGGGAGCAGCTAAGGGAGGAATGAGAGCACGATGAGGGGGAGTTTGTTGTGCCAAAGTACTACAGTGGCACGGTCATCGCACTCCCATTCAGCCTACAAGCCTGCTTAGCTTCTGGAATTGTGGGGTGGTGCTTGAACATGTGTTCTTCATACCCTCAAAGTTTCAGAATCATTGAAGCAGTTTACAAGGCATGGCAACATTTTTAGTTTCAAGATTTATGGCATCCCGGAAGTGTGTGTTACTCTTTTTTGGTAACACCCGAGTTCACCATTTCGGCTGCTGACTCATCTACCGAGCTTCGATTGGTCTGAAAATTAGTGTGGCAGTCCTTTGCCTTGTTTTGCAGGTGTTCACCGAGTTTCAGGACAACCCAGCATCGGAGCAGCACGTGACAGCTGTCGAAAGTTACTGTTCCGTAGTCATGGTGCACTGTTGGCAGCATTTCCCTTGCCACCCTTTCATTGTTGTCATGCCAATAGTGCAGGGACAGGGAATGAGACAAGAAGTACAGGTGGTCAAATGGGACTCTACCACCCTCCTTTTGAGAAGTGTGGTCTTCCTGGAAGCAGCTTGCAAGAGGGTGCAAGTGGGAAGACAAGCTGACTCATGGTTGGCTTGACTCACTATTGGTAGCCTTGAGTACAGCTCTGAACATCCAAGTGTGGTTGGCTTTGCTGACCTAGCTAGGACGTTTCCCATCCTTCTCTAGCCTTTCTCCCCTAGGACTCAACCTTCTCTGAGTTCCCAGGATGGTCCCAACCCCTTAAGAGTCCCCTAGGCAATGTTGTACTCAACCTCTTCCTTGCATCAATGAAACTACTCGTTTTTCAGCCGAGCTTACGTTTTTGTTCACTGCGTAGCGCATACATCTCTGATGACAGCAAGCTATATACCGTTAGAAAGCAAACACTTGAAGCTAACGTCTGTCCAAGTTTCGGCTTCGTTTGATATCGGAGCTGATCGTGACGACGTTTTGAACAGAGGCGGTTTGAAGTCGTCAGATTCTGCTGAGGTGGTTTCAAGGGCATCTACGACCCCTAAGTGGACTCTAGACTATAACAACGTCCACGTCCACGTCCATGTCCACGTCCACGTCCACGTCCATGTCCACGTCCACGTCCACGTCCACGTCCACGTCCACGTCCACGTCCACGTCCATGTCCACGTCCACGTCCACGTCCACGTCCACGTCCATGTCCACGTCCAAGTCCTCCACGTCCACGTCCACGTCCACGTCCACGTCCACGTCCACGTCCACGTCCACGTCCACGTCCACGACCACGTCCACGTCCACGTCCACGTCCACGTCCACGTCCACGTCCACGTCCATGTCCACGTCCACGTCCACGTCCACGTCCATGTCCACGTCCACGTCCACGTCCACGTCCATGTCCACGTCCATGTCCACGTCCACGTCTACGTCCACATCCACGTCCAGGTCCACGTCCATGTCCACGTCCACATCCACGTCCACGTCCACATCCATGTCCACGTCCACGTCCACGTCCACATCCACGTCGATGTCCACGTCCATGTCCATGTCCACGTTCATGTCCACGTCCACGTCCACGTACACGTCCATGTCCACGTTCATGTCCACGTCCACGTCCATGTCCACGTCCACGTCCATGTCCACGTCCATGTCCACGTCCACGTCCACGTCCACGTCCACGTCCACGTCCACGTCCACGTCCACGACCATGTCCACGTCCACGTCCACGTCCACGACCATGTCCACGTCCACATCCACCTCCACGTCCACCTCCACGTCCACGTCCATGTCCACGTCCACCTCCACGTCCACGTCCACGTCCACGTCCACGTCCACGTCCACATCCATGTCCACGTCCATGTCCACCTCCACGTCCATATCCACGTCCATGTCCACGTCCACGTCCATATCCCCGTCCACGTCCACGTCCACGTCCACGTCCACGTCCACGTCCATGTCCACGTCCACGTCCACGTCCACGTCCACGTCCACGTCCACGACCATGTCCACGTCCACGTCCACGTCCACGTCCACGTCCACGTCCATGTCCACGTCCACGTCCACGTCCATGTCCACGTCAACGTCCACGTCCAGGTCCATGTCCACGTCCACGTCCACGTCCATGTCCACGTCCACGTCCATGTCCACGTCCATGTCCACGTCCACGTCCATGTCCACGTCCACGTCCACGTCCATGTCCACGTCCACGTCCATGTCCACGTCCACGTCCATGTCCACGTCCAGGTCCACATCCATGTCCACGTCCACGTCCATGTCCACGTCCATGTCCACGTCGACGTCCACGTCCACGTCCACGTCCACGTCCACGTCCATGTCCACGTCCACGTCCACGTCCATGTCCACGTCCACGTCCATGTCCATGTCCACGTCCATGTCCACGTCCACGTCCATGTCGACGTCCATGTCCACGTCCACGTCCACGTCCACGTCCACGTCCACGTCCACGTCCATGTCCACGTCCAAGTCCTCCACGTCCACGTCCATGTCGACGTCCATGTCCACGTCCACGTCCACGTCCACGTCCATGTCCACGTCCACGTCCACGTCCACGTCCACGACCATGTCCACGTCCACGTCCACGTCCACGACCACGTCCACGTCCACGTCCACGTCCACGTCCACGTCCACGTCCACGTCCACCTCCACGACCACGTCCACGACCACGTCCACGTCCACGTCCACGTCCACGTCCACGTCCAAGTCCACGTCCATGTCCACGCCCATGTCCACGTCCACGTCCACGTCCACGTCCACGTCCATGTCCATGTCCACGTCCACGTCCACGTCCACGACCATGTCCATGTCCTCGTCCACGTCCACGTCCACGTCCACGTCCATGTCCACGTCCACGTCCACGTCCACCTCCACGTCCACCTCCACGTCCACGTCCATGTCCACGTCCACGTCCATGTCCACGTCCATGTCCAGGTCCACGTCCACGTCCACGTCCATGTCCACGTCGACGTCCATGTCCACGTCCACGTCCATGTCCACGTCCATGTCCACGTCCACGTCCACATCCACGTCCATGTCCACGTCCACGTCCACGTCCACGTCCATGTCCACGTCCATGTCCATGTCCACGTCCATATCCACGTCCAGGTCCACCTCCACGTCCACGTCCACGTCCATGTCCACGTCCACGTCCACGTCCACGACCATGTCCACGTCCACGTCCACGTCCACGTCCATGTCCACGTCCATGTCCACGTCCAAGTCCTCCACATCCACGTCCACGTCCATGTCCACGTCCACGTCCACGTCCATGTCCACGTCCACGTCCATGTCCACGTCCACGTCCACGTCCACGTCCATGTCCACGTCCATGTCCACGTCCACGTCCATGTCCACGTCCATGTCCACGTCCACGTCCACGTCCACGTCCACGTCCATGTCCACGTCCACGTCCACGTCCACGTCCACGTCCACGTCCACGTCCACGTCCACGTCCACGTCCATGTCCACGACCACGTCCAGGTCCACGTCTACGTCCACGTCCACGTCCATGTCCACGTCCATGTCCACGTCCACGTCCATGTCCACGTCCATGTCCACGACCACGTCCACGTCCACGTCCACGTCCACGTCCACGTCCACGACCACGACCACGTCCACGTCCACGTCCACGTCCACGACCACGTCCACGTCCATGTACACGACCACGTCCACGACCACGTCCACGTCCACGTCCACGTCCACGTCCACGTCCATGTCACGTCCATGCCACGTCCACGTCCACGTCCACGTCCAAGTCCATGTCCACATCCACGTCCATGTCCAAGTCCACGTCCACGTCCACGTCCACGTCCATGTCTACGTCCATGTCCACGTCCACGTCCACGTCCACGTCCACGTCCACGTCCATGACCACGTCCACGTCCACGTCCACGTCCACGACCACGTCCACGACCACGTCCACGTCCACGTCCACGACCACGTCCACGTCCATGTCCACGTGCACGTCCATGTCCACGTCCACGTCCCCGTCCATGTCCACGTCCGCGTCCACGTCCACGTCCACGTCCACGTGCATGTCCACGTCCATGTCCATGTTTACGTCCATGTCCACGTCCACCTCCATGTCCACGTCCACGTCCACGTCCACGTCCACGTCCACGTTCACGTCCACGTCCATGTCCACGTCCATGTCCACGTCCACGTTCACGTCCACGTCCACATCCACGTCCACGTCTACGTCCACGTCCACGTCCACGTCCATGTCCACGTCCAGGCCCACGTCCACGTCCACGTCCACGTCCACGTCCATGTCCACGTCCACGTCCATGTCCACGTCCATGTCCACGTCCACGTCCATGTCCACGTCCATGTCCACGTCCACGTCCACGTCCACGTCCACGTCCATGTCCACGTCCACGTCCACGTCCACGTCCACGTCCATGTCCACGTCCAAGTCCTCCACGTCCACGTCCACGTCCAGGTCCAGGTCCACGTCCACGTCCACGTCCATGACCACGACCACGTCCACGTCCACGTCCACGTCCACGACCACGTCCACGTCCACATCCACGTCCACGTCCACGACCACTTCCACGTCCACGTCCACGTCCACGTCCACGTCCATGTCCACGTCCACGTCCACGTCCAAGTCCATGTCCACGTCCACGTCCATGTCCACGTCCACGTCCATGTCCATGTCCACGTCCACGTCCACGTCCACGTCCATGTCCACGTCCATGTCCATGTCCACGTCCATGTCTACGTCCATGTCCATGTCCACGTCCACGTCCACGTCCACGTCCACGACCACGTCCACGTCCACGTCCACGTCCACTACCACGTCCACGACCACGTCCACTACCACGTCCACGTCCACGTCCACGTCCACGTCCACGTCCAGGTCCACGTCCACGTCCACGTCCACGTCCACGTCCACGTCCACGTCCATGTCCACGTCCATGTCCACGTCCATGTCCACGTCCACAATCACGTCCACGTCCACGTCCACGTCTACGTCCACGTCCACGTCCACGTCCACGTCCATGTCCACGTCCATGTCCATGTCCACGTCCATGTCCACGTCCACCTCCATGTCCACGTCCACATCCACATCCACGTCCACGTCCACGTTCACGTCCACGTCCATGTCCACATCCATGACCACGTCCACGTTCACGTCCACGTTCACGTCCACGTCCACGTCCACGTTCACGTCCACGTCCATGTCCACGTCCATGACCACGTTCACGTTCACGTCCTCGTTCACGTCCACGTCCACGTCGACGTCCACGTCCACGTCCACGTCCAGGTCCACGTCCACGTCCACGTCCACGTCCATGTACGTCCACGTCCACGTCCACGTCCACGTCCACGACCACGTCCACGTCCACGTCCACGTCCAAGTCCATGTCCACGTCCACGTCCACGTCCATGTCCACGTCCACGTCCACGTCCACGTCCATGTCCACGTCCACGTCCAAGTCCACGTCCATGTCCAAGTCCACGTCCACGTCCAAGTCCACGTCCACGTCCACGTCCACGTCCACGTCCACGTCCACGACCACGTCCACGTCCACGTCCACGTCCACGTCCACGACCACGTCCACGACCACGTCCAGGTCCACGTCCACGTCCACGTCCACGTCCACGTCCATGTCCACGTCCACGACCACGTCCAGGTCCACGTCCACGTCCAGGTCCACGTCCACGTCCACGTCCACGTCCATGTCCACGTCCACGTCCACGTCCACGTCCACGTCCATGTCCACGTCCACGTCCACGTCCACGTCCATGTCCACGTCCATGTCCATGTCCAGTTCACGTCCACGTCCACGTCCACGTCCACGTCTACGTCCACGTCCACGTCCACGTCCACGTCCACGTCCATGTCCACGTCTACGTCCACGTCCACGTACACGTCCACGTCCATGTCCACGTCCACGTCCACGTCCACGTCCACGTCCACGTCCAGGTCCACGTCCACGTCCACGTCCACGTCCACGACCATGTCCACATCCACGTCCACGTCCACGTCTACGTCCACGTCCACGTCCACGTCCACGTCTACGTCCACGTCCACGTCCACGTCCACGTCCACGTCCATGTCCACCTCCACCTCCACGTCCATGTCCACGTCCACGTCCACGTCCACGTCCATGTCCACGTCCACGTCCATGTCCACGTCCACGTCCACGTCTACGTCCACGTCCACGTCCACGTCCACGTCCACGTCCACGTCCATGTCCACGTCCATGTCCATGTCCAGTTCACGTCCACATCCACGTCCACGTCCACGTCTACGTCCACGTCCACGTCCACGTCCACGTCCACCTCCACCTCCACGTCCATGTCCACGTCCACGTCCACGTCCACGTCCATGTCCACGTCCACGTCCATGTCCACGTCCATGTCCACGTCCACGTCCACGTCCACGTCCATGTCCACGTCTACGTCCACGTCCACGTCCACGTCCACGTCCATGTCCACGTCCACGTCCACGTCCACGTCCACGTCCAGGTCCACGTCCACGTCCACGTCCACGTCCACGACCATGTCCACGTCCACGTCCACGACCATGTCCACGTCCACATCCACCTCCACGTCCACCTCCACGTCCACGTCCATCTCCACGTCCACCTCCACGTCCACGTCCACGTCCACGTCCACGTCCACATCCATGTCCACGTCCATGTCCACCTCCACGTCCATATCCACGTCCATGTCCACGTCCACGTCCATATCCACGTCCACGTCCACGTCCACGTCCACGTCCACGTCCACGTCCATGTCCACGTCCACGTCCACGTCCACGTCCACGACCATGTCCACGTCCACGTCCACGTCCACGTCCACGTCCACGTCCATGTCCACGTCCACGTCCACGTCCATGTCCACGTCCACGTCCACGTCCACGTCCATGTCCACGTCCACGTCCACGTCCATGTCCACGTCCACGTCCACGTCCACGTCCATGTCCACGTCCACGTCCATGTCCACGTCCAGGTCGACATCCATGTCCACGTCCACGTCCATGTCCACGTCCATGTCCACGCCGACGTCCACGTCCACGTCCACGTCCACGTCCACGTCCACGTCCATGTCCACGTCCACGTCCACGTCCATGTCCACGTCCACGACCACGTCCACGTCCACGTCCACGTCCACGTCCATGTCCACGTCCACGTCCACGTCCACGTCCACGTCCACGTCCATGTCCACGTCCATGTCCACGTCCACGTCCATGTCCACGTCCACGTCCACGTCCATGTCCACGTCCACGTCCACGTCCACGTCCATGTCCACGTCCACGTCCATGTCCACGTCCAGGTCCACATCCATGTCCACGTCCACGTCCATGTCCACGTCCATGTCCACGTCGACGTCCACGTCCACGTCCACGTCCACGTCCACGTCCACGTCCATGTCCACGTCCACGTCCACGTCCATGTCCACGTCCACGTCCACGTCCATGTCCACGTCCATGTCCACGTCCACGTCCATGTCGACGTCCATGTCCACGTCCACGTCCACGTCCACGTCCACGTCCACGTCCACGTCCACGTCCACGTCCACGTCCACGTCCACGTCCACGTCCACGTCCATGTCCACGTCCACGTCCACGTCCACGTCCACGTCCATGTCCACGTCCATGTCCACGTCCACGGTCCACGTCCATGTCCACGTCCACGTCCACGTCCACGTCCATGTCCACGTCCACGTCCATGTCCACGTCCAGGTCCACATCCATGTCCACCTCCACGTCCATGTCCACGTCCATGTCCACGTCGACGTCCACGTCCTCGTCCACGTCCACGTCCACGTCCACGTCCATGTCCACGTCCACGTCCACGTCCATGTCCACGTCCACGTCCATGTCCATGTCCACGTCCATGTCCACGTCCACGTCCATTTCCATGTCCACGTCCATGTCCACGTCCACGTCCATGTCGACGTCCACGTCCACGTCCACGTCCACGTCCACGTCCACGTCCATGTCCACGTCCAAGTCCTCCACGTCCACGTCCATGTCGACGTCCATGTCCACGTCCACATCCACGTCCACGTCCACGTCCACGTCCACGTCCACGTCCACGTCCACGACCACGTCCACGTCCACGTCCACGTCCACGTCCACGTCCACCTCCACGTCCACGTCCACCTCCACGACCACGTCCACGACCACGTCCACGTCCACGTCCACGTCCACGTCCACGTCCAAGTCCACGTCCATGTCCACGCCCATGTCCACGTCCACGTCCACGTCCACGTCCATGTCCATGTCCACGTCCACGTCCACGACCATGTCCATGTCCTCGTCCACGTCCACGTCCACGTCCACGTCCATGTCCACGTCCACGTCCACGTCCACCTCCACGTCCACCTCCACGTCCACGTCCATGTCCACGTCCACGTCCATGTCCATGTCCATGTCCAGGTCCACGTCCACGTCCACGTCCATGTCCACGTCGACGTCCATGTCCACGTCCACGTCCATGTCCACGTCCATGTCCATGTCCACGTCCACATCCACGTCCATGTCCACGTCCACGTCCACGTCCACGTCCATGTCCACGTCCATGTCCATGTCCACGTCCATATCCACGTCCAGGTCCACCTCCACGTCCACGTCCACGTCCATGTCCACGTCCACGTCCACGTCCACGACCATGTCCACGTCCACGTCCACGTCCACGTCCACGTTCATGTCCACGTCCATGTCCACGTCCAAGTCCTCCACATCCACGTCCACGTCCATGTCCACGTCCACGTCCACGTCCATGTCCACGTCCACGTCCATGTCCACGTCCACGTCCACGTCCACGTCCACGTCCATGTCCACGTCCATGTCCACGTCCACGTCCATGTCCACGTCCATGTCCACGTCCAGGTCCACGTCCACGACCACGTCCATGTCCACGTCCACGTCCACGTCCACGTCCACGTCTACGTCCACGTCCATGTCCACGTCCACGTCCACGTCCACGTCCACGTCCATGTCCACGTCCACGTCCACGTCCACCTCCACGTCCACGTCCACGTCCACGTCCACGTCCACGTCCATGTCCACGACCACGTCCACGTCCACGTCCATGTCCACGTCCATGTCCACGTCCAGGTCCACGTCCACGTCCACGTCCATGTCCACGTCCACGTCCACGTCCACGTCCACGTCCACGTCCACGTCCACGTCTACGTCCACGTCCACGTCCACGTCCACGTCCACGTCCACGTCCACGTCCATGTCCACGTCCACGTCCACGTCCACCTCCACGTCCACGTCCACGTCCACGTCCACGTCCACGTCCACGTCCACGTCCATGTCCACGACCACGTCCACGTCCACGTCTACGTCCACGTCCACGTCCATGTCCACGTCCATGTCCACGTCCACGTCCATGTCCACGTCCATGTCCACGACCACGTCCACGTCCACGTCCACGTCCACGTCCACGTCCACGTCCACGTCCACGACCACGACCACGTCCACGTCCACGTCCACGTCCACGACCACGTCCACGTCCATGTCCACGACCACGTCCACGACCACGTCCACGTCCACGTCCACGTCCACGTCCATGTCACGTCCATGCCACGTCCACGTCCACGTCCACGTCCAAGTCCATGTCCACATCCACGTCCATGTCCATGTCCACGTCCACGTCCACGTCCACGTCCATGTCTACGTCCATGTCCACGTCCACGTCCACGTCCACGTCCACGTCCACGACCACGTCCACGTCCACGTCCACGTCCACGACCACGTCCACGTCCACGACCACGTCCACGTCCACGTCCACGACCACGTCCACGTCCATGTCCACGTCCACGTCCATGTCCACGTCCACGTCCCCGTCCATGTCCACGTCCGCGTCCACGTCCACGTCCACGTCCACGTCCACGTCCATGTCCACGTCCATGTCCATGTTTACGTCCATGTCCACGTCCACCTCCGTGTCCACGTCCACGTCCACGTCCACGTCCACGTCCACGTTCACGTCCACGTCCATGTCCACGTCCATGTCCACGTCCACGTTCACGTCCACGTCCACATCCACGTCCACGTCCACGTCCATGTCCACGTCCACGTCCACGTCCACGTCCATGTCCATGTCCACGTCCACGTCCACGTCCATGTCCACGTCCACGTCCACGTCCACGTCCATGTCCACGTCCACGTCCATGTCCACGTCCATGTCCACGTCCACGTCCACGTCCACGTCCATGTCCACGTCTACGTCCACGTCCACGTCCACGTCCACGTCCATGTCCACGTCCACGTCCACGTCCACGTCCACGTCCACGTCCAGGTCCACGTCCACGTCCACGTCCACGTCCACGACCACGTCCACGTCCACGTCCACGTCCACGTCCACCTCCACGTCCACGTCCACGTCCACGTCCACCTCCACGTCCACATCCACGTCCACCTCCACGTCCACGTCCACGTCCACGTCCACGTCCACGTCCAAATCCATGTCCACATCCGCGTCCAAATCCACGTCCACGTCCACGTCCATGTCCATGTCCACGTCCACGTCCATGTCCACGTCCACGTCCACGTCCATGTCCATATCCACGTCCATGTCTACGTTCATGTCCATGTCCACCTCCATGTCCACGTCCACGTCCACGTCCACGTCCACTACCACGTCCACGTCCATGTCCACGTCCACGTCCACGTCCACGTCCACGTCCATGTCCACGTCCACGTCCACGTCCACGTCCACGTCCATGTCCACGTCCATGTCCATGTCCACGTCCATGTCCACGTGGCATCCATGTCCACGTCCACGTCCACGTCCATGTCCACGTCCATGTCCACGTCCACGTTCACGTCCACGTCCACGTCCACGTCCACGTCCACATCCACGTCCACGTCCACGTCCATATCCACGTCCACGTCCACGTCCACGTCCACGTCCACGTCCCTGCCACGTCCACGTCCACGTCCATGTCCACGTCCACGTCCAAGTCCACGTCCACGTCCACGTCCACGTCCATGTCCACGTCCACGTCCACGTCCACGTCCACGTCCACGTCCAAGTCCACGTCCACGTCCACGTCCACGTCCACGTCCACGTCCATGTCCACGTCCACGTCCACGTCCACGTCCATGTCCACGTCCAAGTCCTCCACGTCCACGTCCACGTCCACGTCCACGTCCACGTCCACGTTCACGTCCATGTGCACAACCATGTTCACGTCCACGTCTACGACCACGTCCACCTCCACGTCCATGTCCACGTCCACCTCCACGTCCACGTCCACGTCCACGTCCATGTCCACGTCCACGTCCACGTCCACGTCCACGTCCACGTCCATGTCCATGTCCACGTCCACGTCCACGTCCATGTCCACGTCCACGTCCACGTCCAAGTCCATGTCCACGTCCACGTCCATGTCCACCTCCACGTCCACGTCCATGTCCATGTCCACGTCCACGTCCACGTCCATGTCCACGTCCATGTCCATATCCACGTCCATGTCTACGTCCATGTCCATGTCCACCTCCATGTCCACGTCCACGTCCACGTCCACTACCACGTCCACGTCCATGTCCACGTCCACGTCCACGTCCACGTCCACGTCCACGTCCACGTCCATGTCCACGTCCACGTCCACGTCCACGTCCATGTCCACGTCCATGTCCATGTCCACGTCCATGTCCACGTGGCATCCATGTCCACGTCCACGTCCACGTCCATGTCCACGTCCATGTCCACGTCCACGTTCACGTCCACGTCCACGTCCACGTCCACGTCCACGTCCACGTCCACGTCCACGTCCACGTCCATGTCCACGTCCACGTCCACGTCCACAACCATGTTCTCGTCCACGTCCACGTCCCTGCCACGTCGACGTCCACGTCCATGTCCACGTCCACGTCCAAGTCCACGTCCACGTCCACGTCCACGTCCATGTCCACGTCGACGTCCACGTCCACGTCCACGTCCACGTCCACGTCCAAGTCCACGTCCACGTCCACGTCCACGTCCACGTCCATGTCCACGTCCACGTCCACGTCCACGTCCACGTCCATGTGCACGTCCAAGTCCTCCACGTCCACGTCCACGTCCACCTCCACGTTCACGTCCACGTCCACGACCATGTCCACGTCCACGTCTACGACCACGTCCACGTCCACGTCCATGTCCACGTCCACGTCCACGTCCACGTCCATGTCCACGTCCACGTCCACGTCCACGTCCACGTCCATGTCCACGTCCATGTCCATGTCCACGTCCACGTCCACGTCCACGTCCATGTCCACGTCCACGTCCATGTCCACGTCCACGTCCACGTCCACGTCCACGTCCACGTCCACGTCCACGTCCACGTCCATGTGCACGTCCACGTCCACGTCCACGTCCACGTCCACGACCATGTCCACGTCCACGTCCACGTCCACGTCCACGTCCATGTCCTCGTCCACGTCTACGTCCACCTCCACGTCCACCTCCACGTCCACGTCCATGTCCACGTCCACGTCCACGTCCACGTCCACGTCCATGTCGACGTCCACGTCCACGTCCACAACCATGTCCTCGTCCACGTCCACGTCCACGTCCACAACCATGTCCTCGTCCATGTCCACTTCCACGTCCACGTCCACGTCCACGTCCATGTCCACGTCCACGTCCACGTCCACGTCCATGTCCACGTCCACGTCCATGTCCACGTCCACGTCCACGTCCACGTCCACGTCCACGTCCATGTCCATGTCCACGTCCACGTCCACGTCCGCGTCCATGTCCACGTCCACGTCCATGTCCACGTCCACGTCCACGTCCACGTCCACGTCCACGTCCACGTCCACGTCCACGTCCACGTCCATGTCCACGTCCACGTCCACGTCCATGTCCACGTCCACGTCCACGTCCACGTCCACGTCCAGGTCCACATCCACGTCCACGTCCACGTCCACGTCCACGTCCACAACCATGTTCACGTCCACGTCTACGACCACGTCTACGACCACGTCCATGTCCACGTCCACGTCCACGTCCACGTCCACGTCCATGTCCACGTCCACGTCCACGTCCACGTCCACGTCCACGTCCACGTCCACGTCCACGTTCACGTCCATGTCCACGTCCACGTCCACGTCCACGTCCACGTCCAAGTCCACGTCCACGTCCACGTCCACGTCCACGTCCACGTCCACGTCCACGACCACGTCCACGACCACGTCCACGTCCACGTCCACGTCCACGACCACGTCCACGTCCACGTCCTTGTCCACGTCCACGTCCACGTCCAGGTCTACGTCCACGTCCACGTCCAAGTCCACGTCCACGTCCACGTCCATGTCCACGTCCACGTCCACGTCCATGTCCATGTCCACGTCCACGTCCATGTCCATGTCCATGTCCATATCCACGTCCATGTCTACGTCCATGTCCATGTCCACCTCCATGTCCACGTCCACGTCCACGTCCACGTCCACTACCACGTCCACGACCATGTCCACGTCCACGTCCACGTCCACGTCCACGTCCACGTCCAGGTCCACATCCACTTTCACGTCCACGTCCACGTCGACGTCCATGTCCACGTCCACGTCCACGTCCACGTACATGTCCACGTCCACGTCCACGTCCACGTCCATGTCCACGTCCATGTCCATGTCCACGTCACGTCCATGTCCATGTCCACGTCCATGTCCACGTGGCATCCATGTCCACGTCCACGTCCACGTCCACGTCCACGTCCACGTTCATGTCCATGTCCACGTCCACGTCCACGTCCACGTCCACGTCCACGTCTACGTCCACGTCCACGTCCACGTCCATGTCTACGTCCACGTCCACGTCCACCACATCCACATCCACGTCCACCACATCCATGTGGACGTGGGCGTGGACGAGGACGTGGACGTGGACGTGGACGTGGATGTGGAGGACTTGGACGTGGACGTGGACGTGGACGTGGACTTGGACGTGGACGTGGACGTGGATGTGGACTTGGATGTGGACTTGGACGTGGACATAGACTTGGACGTGGACGTGGACGTGGACCTGGACCTGGACGTGGACGTGGACCTGGACGTGGACGTAGACGTGGACGTGGACGTGGACGTGGACTTGGACGTGGACATGGACGTAGACGTGGACTTGGACGTGGACGTGGACGTGGACGTGGACGTGGACTTGGACGTGGACATGGACGTGGACGTGGACGTGGACGTGGACGTGGAAGGGACGTGGACATGGACGTGGACGTGGACGTGGACGTCGACTTGGACGTGGACGTGGACGTGGACGTGGACGTGGACATGGACGTTGACGTGGACGTGGACGAGGACGTGGACGTGGACGTGGACGTGGACGTGTACGTGGACGTGGAGGAGTTGGACGTGGACGTGGACGTGGACGTGGACGTGGAGGACTTGGACGTGGACGTGGACTTGGACGTAGACATGGTCGTGGACGTGGACGTGGTCATGGACGTGGACGTGGACGTGGACGTGGACGTGAACGTGGACGTGGACGTGGTTGTGGACGTGGACGTGGTCGTGGACGTGGACGTGGACGTGGACGTGGACGTGGACGTGGACTTGGACGTGGACGTGGACGTGGACGTGGACGGGGACATCGACGTGGACGTGGACGTGGACGTGGACGAGGACGTGGACGTGGACGTGGACGTGGACGTGGACGTGGACCTGGACGTGGACGTGGACGTGGACGTGGACGTGGACGTCTTGGACGTGGACGTGGACTTGGACGTAGACATGGTCGTGGACGTGGACATGGTCATGGACGTGGACGTGGACATGGACGTGAACATGGACGTGGACGTGGACGTGGACATGGACGTGGACGTGGACGTGGACGTGGACGTGGACATGGACGTTGACGTGGACGTGGACGTGGACATGGACGTGGACGTGGACGTGGACGTGGACGTGGACATGGACGTGGTTGTGGACGTGGACGTGGATGTGGACTTGGACGTGGACGTGGACGTGGACGTGGACGTGGACGTGGACGTGATCGTGGACTTGGACGTGGACTTGGACGTGGACGTGGACGTGGACGTGGACGTGGACATGGACGTGGACGTGGACGTGAACGTGGACCGTGGACATGGACGTGGACGTGGACGTGGACGTGGACCTGGACGTGGACCTGGACGTGGACGTGGACCTGAACGTGGACGTGGACGTGGACGTGGACGTGGACTTGGACGTGGATGTGGACGTGGACGTGGATGTGGACGTGGACGTGGACATGGACGTGGACATGGACGTGGACATGGACGTAGACGTGGACATGGACGTGGACGTGGACGTGGACATGGACGTTGACATGGACGTAGACGTGGACGTGGACGTGGACGTGGACGTGGACGTGGACGTGGACATGGACGTGGACGTGGACGTGGACGTGGACGTGGACGTGGACGTGGACATGGACGTGGACGTGGACGTGGACGTGGACGTGGACTTGGACGTGGACGTGGACGTGGACGTCGACTTGGATGTGGACGTGGACGTGGACGTTGACGTGGACGTGGACTTGGACGTGGACGTGGACGTGGACGTGGACGTGGACATGGACGTGGACGTGGACTTGGACGTGGACGTGGACGTGGACGTGGACATGGACGTGGACGTGGACGTGGACGTGGACATGGACGTGGACGTGGACGTGGACGTGGACGTGGACTTGGACGTGGACGTGGACGTGGACGAGGACGTGGACGTGGACGTGGACGTGGACGTGGACGTGGAGGACTTGGACGTGGACGTGGACGTGGACGTGGACGTGGACGTGGAGGACTTGGACGTGGACGTGGACTTGGACGTAGACATGGTCGTGGACGTGGACGTGGTCATGGACGTGGACGTGGACGTGGACATGGACGTGGACGTGAACGTAGACGTGGACGTGGTCGTGGACGTGGACGTGGTCGTGGACGTGGACGTGGACGTGGACGTGGAAGTGGACGTGGACGTGGACATGGACGTGGACGTGGACGTGGACGTGGACATGGACGTGGACGTGGACGTGGACGTGGACGTGGACGTGGACTTGGACGTGGACGTGGACGTGGACGTGGACGTGGACGTGGACGTGGACGTGGACGTGGACATGGACGTGGACGTGGACGTGGACGTGGACGTGGACTTGGACGAGGACGTGGACATGGAGTTGGACGTGGAGTTGGACGTGGACGTGGACTTGGACGTGGACGTGGACGTGGACTTGGACGTGGACATGGACGTGGACGTGGACGTGGACGTGGACTTGGACGTGGACGTGGACGTGGACGTGGACGTGGACGTGGACTTGGACGTGGACGTGGACGTGGACGTGGACGTGGACGTGGACGTGGACGTGGACTTGGACGTGGACGTGGACGTGGACGTGGACGTGGACGTGGACGTGGACTTGGACGTGGACGTGGACGTGGACGTGGACGTGGACGTGGACGTGGACGTGGACTTGGACGTGGACGTGGACTTGGACGTGGACGTGGACGTGGACGTGGACGTGGACATGGACGTGGACGTGGACGTGGACGTGGACGTGGAGGAGTTGGACGTGGACGAGGAGTTGGACGTGGACGTGGACGTGGACGTGGACGTAGAGGACCTTGACGTGGACGTGGACTTGGACGTAGACATGGTCGTGGACGTGGACGTGGTCATGGACGTGGACGTGGACATGGACGTGGACGTGGACGTGGACGTGGACGTGGACGTGGACGTGGTCGTGGACGTGGACGTGGAGGAGTTGGACGTGGACGTGGAGGAGTTGGACGTGGACGTGGACGTGGAGGACTTGGACGTGGACGTGGACTTGGACGTAGACATGGTCGTGGACGTGGACGTGGACGTGGACGTGGACGTGGACGTGGACGAGGTCTTGGAAGTGGACGTGGACGTGGACGCGGACGTGGACATGGATGTGGACGTGGACGTGGACGTGGACTTGGACGTGGACGTGGACGTGGATGTGGATGTGGACTTGGACGTGGACGTGGACTTGGACGTGGACGTGGACGTGGACGTGGACGTGGACGTGGACTTGGACGTGGACTTGGACGTGGAGGTGGACGTGGACGTGGACGTGGACGTGGACGTGGACATGGACGTGGACGTGGACTTGGACGTGGACGTGGACGTGGACGTGGACATGGACGTGGACGTGGACGTGGACTTGGACTTTGACGTGGATGTGGACGTGGACGTGGACGTGGACGTGGACATGGACGTGGACGTGGACGTGGACATGGACGTGGACGTGGACATGGACGTGGACGTGGACATGGACGTGGACGTCGACGTGGACGTGGACTTGGACGTGGACGTGGACGTGGACGTGGACTTGGACGTGGACGTGGACGTGGACATGGACGTGACGTGGACGTGGACGTGGACATGGACGTGGACGTGGACATGGACGTGGACGTGGACGTGGACTTGGACGTGGACGTGGACGTGGACGTGGACGTGGACATGGACGTGGACGTGGACGTGGACTTGGACGTGGACGTGGACGTGGACGTGGACGTGGACGTGGACATGGACGTGGACGTGGACGTGGACGTGGACGACGACGTGGACGTGGACTTGGACGTGGACGTGGACTTGGACGTAGACATGGTCGTGGACATGGACGTGGTCATGGACGTGGACGTGGACATGGACGTGAACGTGGACGTGGTCGTGGACATGGACGTGGTCATGGACGTGGACGTGGTCATGGACGTGGACGTGGACAAGGACGTGGACGTGGACGTGGACGTGGACAAGGACGTGGACGTGGACGTGGACGTGGACGTGGACGTGGACATGGACGTGGACGTGGACGTGGACGTGGATATGGACGTGGACGTGGACGTGGACGTGGACATGGAAGTGGACGTGGGCGTGGACGTGGACGTGGACTTGGACGTGGACGTGGACGTGGACGTGGACGTGGACGTGGACATGGACGTAAACGTGGACGTGGACGTGGACGTGATCGTGGACTTGGACGTGGACTTGGACGTGGACGTGGACGTGGACGTGGACGTGGACATGGACGTGGACGTGGACGTGGACGTGGACGTGGACTTGGACGTGGACGTGGACGTGGACCTGGACGTGGACCTGGACGTGGACGTGGACGTGAACGTGGACGTGGACGTGGACGTGGACGTGGACTTGGACGTGGACGTTGACGTGGACGTGGACCTGGACTTGGACGTGGACGTGGACATGGACGTGGACATGGATGTGGACGTGGACATGGACGAGGACGTGGACGTGGACATCGACGTGGACGTGGACGTGGACGTGGACATGGACGTGGACGTGGACGTGGACGTGGACGTAGACGTGGACGTAGACGTGGACATGGACGTTGACATGGACGTGGACGTGGACGTGGACGTGGACGTGGCCGTGGACGTGGACGTGGACGTGGACATGGACGTGGACGTGGACGTGGACGTGGACGTGGACATGGACGTGGACATGGACGTGGACGTGGACATGGACGTGGACATGGACGTGGACGTGGACGTGGACGTGGACGTGGACTTGGACGTGGACGTGGACGTGGACGTGGACGTGGACGTGACGACTTGGACGTGGACGTGGACGTGGACGTGGACTTGGACGTGGACGTGGACGTGGACGTGGACGTGGACGTGGACATGGACGTGGACGTGGACGTGGACGTGGACTTCGACATGGACGTGGACGTGGACGTGGACGTGGACATGGACGTGGACGTGGACGTGGACGTGGACGTGGACGTGGACTTGGACGTGGACGTGGACGTGGACGTGGACGAGGATGTGGACGTGGACGTGGACGTGGACGTGGAGGACTTGGACGTGGACGTGGACGTGGACGTGGAGGACTTGGACGTGGACGTGGACTTGGTCGTAGACATGGTCGTGGACGTGGACGTGGTCATGGACGTGGACGTGGACGTGGACGTGGACGTGGACGTGGACGTGAACGTGGACGTGGACGTGGTCGTGGACGTGGACGTTGTCGTGGATGTGGACGTCGACGTGGACGTGGAAGTGGACGTGGACGTGGACATGGACGTGGACGCGGACGTGGACATGGACGTGGACGTGGACATGGACGTGAACATGGACGTGGACTTGGACGTGGACGTGGACGTGGACGTGGACGTGGACGTGGACGTGGACGTGGACGTGGACGTGGACGTGGACATGGACGTGGACTTGGACGTGGACGTGGACGTGGACGTGGACGTAGACATGGACGTGGACGTGGACGTGGACTTGGACTTGGATGTGGACGTGGACGTGGACGTGGACGTGGACGTGGACTTGGACGTGGACGTGGACGTGGACGTGGACGTGGACGTGGACGTGGACTTGGACGTGGACGTGGACGTGGACGTGGACGTGGACATGGACGTGGACGTGGACGTGGACGTGGACGTGGACTTGGACGTGGACGTTGACGTGGACGTGGACGAGGACGTGGACGTGGACGTGGACGTGGACGTGTACGTGGACGTGGAGGAGTTGGACGTGGACGTGGACGTGGACGTGGACGTGGAGGACTTGGACGTGGACGTGGACTTGGACATAGACATGGTCGTGGACGTGGACGTGGTCATGGACGTTGACGTGGACGTGGACGTGGACGTGGACGTGGACGTGGTCGTGGACTTGGACGTGGTCGTGGAAGTGGACGTGGACGTGGACGTGGACGCGGACGTGGACGCGGACGTGGACGTGGACGTGGACGTGGACGTGGACGTGGACTTGGACGTGGACGTGGACGTGGACGTGGACGTGGACTTGGACGTGGACATGAACGTGGACGTGGACGTGGACGTGGACGTGGACATGGACGTGGACGTGGACGTGGACGTGGACTTGGACGTGGAGGTGGACGTGGACGTGGACGTGGACTTGGACGTGGACGTGGACGTGGACATGGACGTGGACGTGGACTTGGACGTGGACGTGGACGTGGACGTGGACGTGGACGTGGACATGGACGTGGATGTGGACGTGGACTTGGACTTCAACGTGGATGTGGACGTGGACGTGGACGTGGACGTGGACGTGGACATGGACGTGGACGTGGACGTGGACGTGGACGTGGACGTGGACTGGCATGGACATGGACGTGGCATGGACGTGGACATGGACGGGACCGACGTGGACGTGGACGTAGACATGGACGTGGGCGCGGACGTGGACGTGGACGTGGACATGGACATGGACGTGGACATGGACGTGGAGGACTTGGACGTGGACATGGACGTGGACGTGGACGTGGACGTGGACGTAGACGTGGACATGGACGTGGACATGGACGTGGACATGGACGTGGAGATGGACATGGACGTGGACGTGGACATGGACATGGACGTGGACGTGGACGTGGACGTGGACGTGGACATGGACGTGGACATGGACCTGGATGTGGACATGGACGTGGACATGGACGTGGATGTGGACGTGGACGTGGACGTGGACGTGGACATGGACGTGGACGTGTACATGGATGGGACGTGGACATGGACGTGGACGTGGACGTGGACGTGGACGTGGACGTGGACATGGACGTGGACGTGGACGCGGACATGGACGTGGACGTGGACATGGACGTGGACATGGACATGGACGTGGACGTGGACGTGGACGTGGACGTGGACATGGACGTGGACATGGACGTGGACATGGACGTGGACGTGGACGTAGACGTGGACGTGGACATGGACGTGGACGTGGACATGGATGGGACGTGGACATGGACGTGGACGTGGACGTGGACGTGGACGTGGACATGGATGGGACGTGGACATGGACGTGGACGTGGACGTGGACGTGGACGTGGACGAGGACCTGGTCGTGGACGTGGACGTGGACGTGGACGTGGACGTGGACGTGGACGTGGACCTGGACGTGGACGTGGACGTGGACGTGGTCGTGGACGTGGACGTGGACGTGGACGTGGACGTGGACGTGGACGTGGACGTGGACTATGGACGTGGACGTTGACGTGGACGTGGACGTTGACGTGGACGTGGACGTGGACGTGGACGTGGACGTGGACGAGGACGTGGACGTGGACGTGGACGTGGACCTGGACGTGGACGTGGACATGGACGTGGACATGGACGTGGACATGGACGTGGACGTGGACGTGGACCTGGACGTGGACGTGGACGTGGTCGTGGACGTGGTCGTGGACGTGGACGTGGACGTGGACATGGACGTGGACATGGACGTGGACGTGGACGTGGTCGTGGACGTCGACGTGGACGTGGACGTGGACGTGGACATGGACGTGGACGTGGACGTGGACGTGGACGTGGACGTGGACGTGGACGTGGACGTGAACGTGGACGTGGACGTGAACGTGGACGTGGACGTGGACGTGGACGTGGACGTGGACGTGGACGTGGACGTGGACGTGGACGTGGACGTGGACATGGACGTGGACGTGGACGTGGACGTGGACGTGGACGTGGACGTGGACGTGGACGTGGACGTGGACGTGGACATGGACGTGGACGTGACGTGGACATGGACGTGGACGTGGACGTGGACGTGGACATGGACGTGACATGGACGTGGACGTGGACGTGGACGTGGACCGTGGACGTGGACATGGACGTGGACGTGGACGTGGACATGGACGTGGAGGACTTGGACGTGGACATGGACGTGGACGTGGATGTGGACGTGGACGTGGACGTGGACGTGGACGTGGACATGGACGTGGACGTGGACGTGGACGTGGACGTGGACGTGGACGTGGACATGGACGTGGACGTGGACATGGATGGGACGTGGACATGGACGTGGACATGGACGTGGACGTGGACATGGACGTGGGCGTGGACGTGGACATGGACGTGGATGGGGACATGGACATGGACGTGGACATGGACGTGGAGGACTTGGACGTGGACATGGACGTGGACGTGGATGTGGACGTGGACATGGTCGTGGACGTGGACGTGGACGTGGACATGGACGTGGACGTGGACGTGGACGTGGACGTGGACGTGGACATGGACGTGGACGTGGACGTGGACGTGGACGTGGACATGGACGTGGACGTGGACGTGGTCGTGGACGTGGACGTGGACATGGACGTGGACGTGGACGTGGACGTGGACGTGGACGTGGACATGGACGTGGAGGTGGACGTGGACGTGGACGTTGACGTGGACGTGGAGGTGGACGTGGACAGGGTCGTGGACGTGGACGTGGACGAGGACGTGGACATGGACGTGGACGTGGACGTAGACGTGGACGTGGACATGGACGTGGACGTGGACATGGACGTAGTCGTGGACGTGGACGTGGACGAGGACGTGGACGTGGACGTGGACGTGGACGTGGACGTGGACATGGACATGGACGTGGACGTGGACATGGATGGGACGTGGACATGGACGTGGACGTGGACGTGGACGTGGACATGGACGTGGACGTGGTCGTGGACGTGGACGTGGACGTGGACGTGGACGTGGACATGGACGTGGACGTGGACGTGGACGTGGACGTGGACGTGGACATGGACGTGGAGGTGGACGTGGACATGGAAATGGACGTGGACATGGACGTGGACATGAACGTGGACGTGGACATGGACATGGACGTGGACGTTGACGTGGACGTGGACGTGGACGTGGACGTGGACATGGACGTGGACATGGACCTGGACGTGGACATGGACGTGGACATGGACGTGCACGTGGACGTGGACGTGGACATGGTCGTGGACGTGGACGTGGACGTGGATGTGGACGTGCACGTGGACGTGGACATGGACGTGCACGTGCACGTGGACGTGGACATGGTCGTGGACGTGGACGTGGACGTGGACGTGGACGTGGACATGGACGTGGACGTGGACGTGGACGTGGACGTGGACGTGGACGTGGACGTGGACGTGGACATGGTCGTGGACGTGGACGTGGACGTGGACGTGGACGTGGACGTGGACGTGGACATGGACGTGGACGTGGACATGGACGTGGACGTGGACGTGGACATGGACGTGGATGTGGACGTAGACGTGGACGTTGACGTGGACGTGGACGTGGACGTGCACAGGGTCGTGGACGTGGACGTGGACGAGGACGTGGACATGGACGTGGACGTGGACGTGGACGTAGACGTGGACGTGGACGTGGACATGGACGTGGACGTGGACATGGACGTAGTCGTGGACGTGGACGTGGACGAGGACGTGGACGTGGACGTGGACGTGGACGTGGACATGGACGTGGACGTGGACATGGACGTGGACGTGGACATGGACGTGGACGTGGATGTGGACGTGGACATGGACGTGGACGTGAACGTGGACGTGGACGTGGACATGGACGTGGACGTGGACTTGGACGTGGACGTGGACGTGGACATGGACGTGGAGGTGGACGTGGACGTGGACATGGACGTGGACATGGACGTGGACATAAACGTGGACATGGACATGGACATGGACGTGGACGTGGACATGGACATGGACGTGGACGTGGACGTGGACATGGACGTAGACATGGACGTGGACATGGACGTGCACGTGGACGTGGACGTGGACGTGGACGTGGACATGGACGTGGACATGGACGTGGACATGGACGTGGACATGTGCACGTGGACGTGGACGTGGACGTGGACATGGACGTGGACGTGGACGTGGACGTGGACTTGGACGTGGACGTGGACGTGGACGTGGACATGGATGTGGACGTGGACGTCGACATGGACGGGGACGTGGACGTGGACGTGGACGTGGACTTGGACGTGGACGTGGACGTGGACGTGGACATGGACATGGACGTGGACGTGGACGTGGACTAGGACGTGGACGTGGACGTGGACGTGGACGTGGACGTGGAGGACTTGGACGTGGACGTGGACGTGGACGTGGACGTGGAGGACTTGGACGTGGACGTGGACGTGGACGTGGACGTGGAGGACTTGGACGTGGACGTGGACGTAGACATGGTCGTGGACGTGGACGTGGTCATGGACGTGGACGTGGACGTGGACGTGGACGTGGTCGTGGACGTGGACGTGGTCGTGGACGTGGCATGGACGTGGACGTGGTCGTGGACGTGGACATGGACGTGAAGGTGGACGTGGACGTGGAAATGGACGTGGACATGGACGTGGACATGAACGTGGACGTGGACATGGACGTGGACGTGGACGTGGACGTGGACGTGGACATGGACGTGGACATGGACGTGGACATGAACGTGGACGTGGACATGGACGTGGACGTTGACGTGGACGTGGACGTGGACGTGGACGTGGACATGGACGTGGACATGGACGTGGACATGAACGTGGGACGTGGACATGGACGTGGACGTTGACGTGGACGTGGACGTGGACGTGGACGTGGACCGTGGACGTGGACGTGGACGTGGACATGGACGTGGACAGTGGACATGGATGGGACGTGGACATGGACGTGGACGTGGACGTGGACGTGGACGTGGACATGGATGGGACGTGGACATGGACGTGGACGTGGACGTGGACGTGGACGTGGGACGAGGACCTGGTCGTGGACGTGGACGTGGACGTGGACGTGGACGTGGACGTGACGTGGACGTGGACCGTGGACGTGGACGACTGGACGTGGATCGTGGACGTGGACGTGGTCGTGGACGTGGACGTGGACGTGGACGTGGACGTGGACGTGGACGTGGACGTGGACGTGGACATGGACGTGGACGTTGACGTGGACGTGGACGTTGACGTGGACGTGGACGTGGACGTGGAACGTGGACGTGGACGAGGACGTGGACGTGGACGTGGACGTGGACCTGGACGTGGACGTGGACATGGACGTGGGACATGGACGTGGACATGGACGTGGACGTGGACGTGGAACCTGGACGTGGACGTGGACGTGGTCGTGGACGTGGGTCGTGGACGTGGGAACGTGGACGTGGACATGACGTGGACATGGACGTGGACGTGGACGTGGTCGTGGACGTCGACGTGGACGTGGACGTGGACGTGGACATGGACCCGTGGGACTGGACTGGACGTGGACGTGGACGTGGACGTGGACGGTGGACGTGAACGTGGACGTAGACGTGAACGTGGACGTGGACGCTGGACGTGGACGTGGACGTGGACGTGGACGTGGACGTGGACGTGGACTTGGACGTGGACGTGGACATGGACGTGTACGTGGACGTGGACGTGGACGTGGACGTGGACGTGGACGTGGACGTGGACGTGGACGTGGACGTGGACATGGACGTGGACGTGGACGTGGACATGGACGTGGACGTGGACGTGGACGTGGACATGGACGTGGACATGGACGTGGACGTGGACGTGGACGTGGACGTGGACGTGGACATGGACCGTGGACGTGGACGTGGACGTGGACATGGACGTGGACATGGACGTGGACGTGGACGTGGACGTGGACGTGGACGTGGACAGTGGACATGGACGTGGACGTGGACATGGATGGGACGTGGACATGGACGTGGACCATGGACGTGGGAAGTGGACATGGACGTGGGCGTGGACGTGGACATGGACGTGGATGGGGACATGGACATGGACGTGGACATGGACGTGGAGGACTTGGACGTGGACATGGACGTGGACCGTGGATGTGGACGTGGACATGGTGGACGTGACGTGGACGTGGACGTGGACATGGACGTGGACGTGGACGTGGACGTGGACGTGGACGTGGACATGGACGTGGACGTGGACGTGGACGTGGACGTGGACATGGACGTGGACGTGGACGTGGACGTGGACGTGGACGTGGACATGGACGTGGACGTGGACGTGGACGTGGACGTGGACGTGGACATGGACGTGGAGGTGGACGTGGACGTGGACGTTGACGTGGACGTGTAGGTGGACGTGGACAGGGTCGTGGACGTGGACGTGGACGTGGACGTGGACATGGACGTGGACGTGGACGTGGACGTGGACGTGGACATGGACGTGGACGTGGACATGGACGTACGTGGACAGTGGACGTGGACAGGACGTGGACGTGGACGTGGACGTGGACGTGGACGTGGACGTGGACATGGACGTGGACGTGGACATGGATGGGACGTGGACATGGACGTGGACGTGGACGTGGACGTGGACATGGACGTGGACGTGGACCGTGGACGTGGGACGTGGACGTGGACGTGGACGTGGACATGGACGTGGACGTGGACGTGGACGTGGACGTGGACGTGGACATGGACGTGGACGTGGACGTGGACATGGATGGACGTGGACATGGACGTGGACATGGACGTGGACGTGGACGTGGACATGGACGTGGACGTGACGTGGACGTGGACGTGGACGTGGACGTGGACATGGACGTGGACATGGACGTGGACGTGGACATGGACGTGGACGTGGACGTGGACGTGGACGTGGGACGTGGACATGGACGTGGACGTGGACGTGGACGTGGATGTGGACGTGGACGTGGACGTGGACGTGGACGTGACGTGCCGTGGACGTGGACATGGACGTGGACGTGGACGTGGACGTGGACGTGGACGTGGACATGACGTGGACGTGGACGTGGACGTGGACGTGGACGTGGACGTGGACGTGGACGTGGACATGGACGTGGACGTGGACGTGGACGTGGACGTGGACGTGGACGTGGACGTGGACATGGACGTGGACGTGGACATGGACGTGGACGTGGACGTGGACATGGACGTGGACGTGGACGTAGACGTGGACGTTGGACGTGGACGTGGACGTGGACGTGGACAGGGACGTGGACGTGGACGTGGACGTGGACGTGGACATGGACGTGGACGTGGACGTGGACGTGGACGTGGACGTGGACGTGGACATGGACGTGGACGTGGACATGGACGTGGACGTGGACGTGGACGTGGACGTGGACGTGGACGTGGACGTGGACGTGGACGTGGACATGGACGTGGACGTGGACATGGACGTGGACGTGGACGTGGACGTGGACGTGGACGTGGACGTGGACATGGACGTGGACGTGAACGTGGACGTGGACGTGGACATGGACGTGGACGTGGACTGGACGTGGACGTGGACGTGGACATGGACGTGGACGTGGACGTGGACGTGGACATGACGTGGACATGGACGTGACGTACACTGGACATGGACGTGGACATGGACGTGGACGTGGACATGGACGTGGACGTGGACGTGGACGTGGACATGGACGTGGACATGGACGTGGACATGGACGTGGACGTGGACGTGGACGTGGACGTGGACGTGGACATGGACGTGGACATGGACGTGGACGTGGACGTGGACATGGACGTGGACGTGGACGTGGACGTGGACGTGGACTGGACGTGGACGTGGACGTGGACGTGGACGTGGACGTGGACGTGGACGTGGACGTGGACATGGACGTGGACGTGGACGTGGACATGGACGTGGACGTGGACGTGGACGTGGACGTGGACGTGGACGTGGACGTGGACGTGGACGTGGACATGGACATGGACGTGGACGTGGACGTGGACTTGACGTGGAGTGGACGTGGACGTGGACGTGGACGTGAGGACTTGGACGTGGACGTGGACGTGGACGTGGACGTGGAGGACTTGGACGTGGACGTGGACGTGGACGTGGACGTGGAGGACTTGGACGTGGACGTGGACGTGGACATGGACGTGGACGTGGACGTGGACATGGACGTGGACGTGGACGTGGACGTGGACGTGGACGTGGACGTGGACGTGGACGTGGACGTGGACGTGGACGTGGACGTGGACGTGGACGTGGACATGGACGTGGAGTGGACGTGGACGTGGACATGGACGTGGACGTGGACGTGGACTGGACGTGGACGTGGACATGGACGTGGACGTGGACGTGGACGTGGACGTGGACGTGGACGTGGACATGGACGTGGACGTGGACATGGACGGGACGTGGACATGGACGTGGACGTGGACGTGGACGTGGACGTGGACTGGACGTGGACATGGACGTGGACATGGACGTGGACGTGGACGTGGACGTGGACATGGACGTGGACGTGGACGTGGACGTGGACGTGGACGTGGACGTGACGTGGACTGGACTGGACGTGGACATGGACGTGGACATTGGACGTGGACGTGGACGTGGACGTGGAGTGGGACGTGGACGTGGACGTGGACGTGGACGTGGACGTGGACGTGGACGTGGACATGGACGTGGCGTGGACGTGGACGTGGACATGGACGTGGACGTGGACGTGGACGTGGACGTGGACGTGACTGGACGTGGACGTGGACATGGACGTGGACGTGGACGTGGACGTGGACGTGGACGTGGACGTGGACGTGGACGTGTGGACGTGGACGTGGACGTGGACGTGGACGGGTGGACATGGACGTGGACGTGGACGTGGACGTGGACGTGGACGTGGACGTGGACATGGACGTGGACATGGACGTGGACGTGGACGTGGACATGGACGTGGACGTGGACGTGGACATGGACGTGGACGTGGACGTGGACGTGGACGTGGACGTGGACGTGGACATGGACGTGGACGTGGACGTGGACGTGGACGTGGACGTGGACGTGGACGTGGACGTGGACGTGGACATGGACGTGGACGTGGAACGTGGACGTGGACATGGACGTGGACGTGGACGTGGACGTGGACGTGGACATGGACGTGGAGTGGACATGGACGTGGACGTGGACGTGGACGTGGACATGGACGTGGACGTGGACGTGGACGTGGACGTGGACGTGGACGTGGACATGGACGTGGACGTGGACATGGACGTGGACGTGGACGTGGACGTGGACGTGGACGTGGACGTGGACGTGGACGTGGACATGGATGGGACGTGGACGTGGACGTGGACATGGACGTGGACGTGGACGTGGACGTGGACATGGACGTGGACGTGGACGTGGACGTGGACGTGGACGTGGACGTGGACATGGACGTGGACATGGACGTGGATGACTTGGATTGGACATGGACGTGGATGTGGACGTGGACGTGGACGTGGACGTGGACGTGGACGTGGACGTGGACGTGGACGTGGACGTGGACGTGGACGTGGACGTGGACGTGACGTGGACGTGGACGTGGACGTGGACATGGACGTGGACGTGGACGTGGAGGAGTGGACGTGGACGTGGACGTGGACTTGGACGTGGACGTGGACGTGGACGTGGACGTGGACGTGGACGTGGACGTGGACGTGGACGTGGACGTGGACATGGACGTGGACGTGGACGTGGACGTGGACTTGGACGTGGACGTGGACGTGGACGTGGACGTGGACGTGGACGTGGACGTGGACGTGGACGTGGACATGGACGTGGACGTGGACGTGGAGGAGTTGGACGTGACGTGGACGTGGACGTGGACGTGGACGTGGACGTGGACGTGGACGTGGACGTGGACGTGGACGTGGACGTGGACGTGGACTTGGACGTGGACGTGGACGTGACGTGGACGTGGACGTGGACGTGGACGTGGACGTGGACGTGGACGTGGACGTGGACGTGGACGTGGACGTGGACGTGGACGTGGACGTGGACGTGGACGTGGACGTGGAGGACGTGGACGTGGACGTGGACTTGGACGTGGACATGGACGTGGACGTGGACGTGGACGTGGACATGGACGTGGACGTGGACGTGGACGTGGACGTGGACGTGGACGTGGACGTGGACGTGGACATGGACGTGGACGTGGACGTGGACGTGGACATGGACGTGGACGTGGACATGGACGTGGAGGACGTGGACGTGGACATGGACGTGGACGTGGACGTGGACGTTGACGTGGACATGGACGTGGACGTGGACGTGGACATGGACGTGGACATGGACGTGGACGTGGACGTGGACGTGGACGTGGACGTGGACATGGACGTGGACGTGGACGTGGACGTGGACATGGACGTGGACGTGGACGTGGACGTGGACGTGGACGTGGACGTTGACGTGGACGTGGACGTGGACGTGGACGTGGACGTGGACGGACGTGGACGTGGACGTGGACTTGTGGACGTGGACGTGGACGTGGACGTGGACGTGGACGTGGACGTGTGGACGTGGACGTGGACGTGGACGTGGACGTGGACGTGGACGTGGACGTGGACGTGGACGTGGACATGGACGTGGACGTGGACGTGGACGTGGACGTGGACGTGGACGTGGACGTGGACGTGGACGTGGACGTGGACGTGGACGTGGACGTGGACGTGGACGTGGACGTGGACGTGGACGTGGACGGACTTGGACGTGGAGTGGACGTGGACGAGTGGACGTGGACGTGAGGACGTGGACGTGGACGTGGACGTGGAGGACGTGGACATGGACGTGGACGTGGACGTGGACATGGACGTGGACGTGGACTGGACGTGGACGTGGACGTGGACGTGGACGTGGACGTGGACGTGGACGTGGACGTGGACGTGGACGGAGTGGACGTGGACGTGGACGTGGACGTGGACGTGGACGTGGAGGACGTGACGTGGACGTGGACGTGGACGTGGACATGGACGTGGACGTGGACGTGGACGTGGACGTGGACGTGGACGTGGACGTGGACGTGGACATGGACGTGGTGGACATGGACGTGGACGTGGACGTGGACATGGACGTGGACGTGGACGTGGACGTGGACATGGACGTGGACGTGGACGTGGGGACGTTGGACGTGGACGTGGACGTGGACGTGGACGTGGAGGACTTGGACGTGGACGTGGACTTGGACTGGACGTGGACGTGGGACGTGGACGTGGACGTGGACGTGGACTTGGACGTGGACGTGGACGTGGACGTGGACGTGGACATGGACGTGGACGTGGACATGGACGTGGACGTGGACGTGGAGGACGTGGACGTGGACGTGGACGTGGACGTGGACGTGGACGTGGACGTGGACGTGGACGTGGACGTGGAGGCTTGGTGGACGTGGACGTGGACGTGGACGTGGGACTTGGACGTGGACGTGGACGTGGACATGGACTGGACGTGGACTGGACGTGGACGTGGACGTGGACGTGGACGTGGACGTGGACGTGGACGTGGACGTGGACGTGGACGTGGACGTGGACATGGACGTGGACGTGGACGTGGACATGGACCGTGGACGTGGACGTGGACGTGGACATGGACGTGGACATGGACGTGGACATGACGTGGACGTGGACATGGACGTGGACGTGGACGTGGACGTGGACGTGGACGTGGACGTGGACATGGACGTGGACGTGGACATGAACGTGGACGTGGACGTGGACGTGGACGTGGACGTGGACGTGGACGTGGACGTGGACGTGGACATGGACGTGGACATGGACGTGGACATGAACGTGGACGTGGACGTGGACGTGGACGTGGACGTGGACGTGGACGTGGACGTGGACGTGGACGTGGACGTGGACCTGGACGTGGACGTGGACGTGGACATGGACGTGGACGTGGACGTGGACGTGGACATGGACGTGGACGTGGACGTGGACGTGGACGTGGACGTGGACGTGGACGTGGACGTGGACGTGGACGTGGACGTGGACGTGGACATGGACGTGGACGTGGACGTGGACGTGGACGTGGACGTGGACATGGACGTGGACGTGGACGTGGACGTGGACGTGGACGTGGACGTGGACGTGGACGTGGACGTGGACGTGGACGTGGACGTGGACGTGGACGTGGACTTGGACGTGGACTGGACGTGGACGTGGACGTGGACGTGGACGTGACGTGGACGTGGACGTGGACGTGGACATGGACGTGGACGTGGACGTGGACGTGGACGTGGACGTGGACGTGGACATGGACGTGGACGTGGACGTGGACGTGTGACGTGGACGTGGACGTGGACTGGACGTGGACGTGGACGTGGACGTGGACGTGGACGTGGACGTGGACATGGACGTGGACGTGGACATGGACGTGGACGTGGACGTGGACGTGGACGTGGACGTGGACGTGGACGTGGACGTGGACGTGGACATGGACGTGGACGTGGACAGTGACGTGGACGTGGACGTGGACGTGGACATGGACGTGGACGTGGACGTGGACGTGGACGTGGACATGGACGTGGACATGGACGTGGACGTGGACATGGACTGGACATGGACGTGGACGTGGACGTGGACGTGGACGTGGACGTGGACGTGGACTGGATGGACGTGGACATGGACGTGACATGGACGTGGACGTGGACGTGGACGTGGACGTGGACGTGGACGTGGACGTGGACATGGACGTGGACGTGGACGTGGACATGGACGTGGACGTGGACGTGGACGGACGTGGACATGGACATGGACGTGGACGTGGACGTGACGTGGACGTGGACGTGGACGTGGACGTGGACATGGACGTGGACGTGGACGTGGACGTGGACGTGGACGTGGACGTGGACGTGGACGTGGACGTGGACGTGGACATGGACGTGGACGTGGACGTGGAGGAGTTGGACGTGGACGTGGACGTGGACGTGGACGTGGACGTGGACGTGGACGTGGACGTGGACGTGGACGTGGACGTGGACGTGGACGTGGACGTGGACATGGACGTGGACGTGGACGTGGACGTGGACGTGGACGTGGACGTGGACGTGGACGTGGACGTGGACGTGGACGTGGACGTGGACGTGGACGTGGACGTGGACGTGGACGTGGACGTGGACGGGACGTGGACGTGGACGTGGACGTGGACGTGGACGTGGGACGTGGACGTGGACGTGGACGTGGACGTGACGTGGACGTGGACGTGGACGTGGACGTGGACGTGGACGTGGACGTGGACGTGGACGTGGACGTGGACGTGGACGTGGACTTGGACGTGGACTGGACGTGGACGTGGACGGGGGACGTGGACGTGGACGTGGACGTGGACGTGGACGTGGACGTGAGGACGTGGACGTGGACGTGGACTTGGACGTGGACATGGACCGTGGACGTGGACGTGGACGTGGACATGGACGTGGACGTGGACTGGACGTGGACGTGGACGTGGACGTGGACGTGGACGTGGACGTGGACGTGGACGTGGACGTGGACGTGGACGTGGACGTGGACGTGGACATGGACGTGGACGGACTTGACGTGGACATGGACGTGGACGTGGACGTGACGTGGACGTGGACATGGACGTGGACGTGGACGTGGACATGGACGTGGACATGGACGTGTGG